TTTAACTAGCATCCCATCTAGGGGGGAGTATGCTTAATGCTGCAAAAAGCTCGTTAACCTCCTGCTGCGTGGGCTTCGTCAGGGACGGCGGAGCCGGGAGGCTAAAAAAAAAGGCTTTAGCCACATCTCCCCCCCGCCCCCATCACTTTTTTAGAAAAAATAAAGACTTAATAAGAGGAGTTTCTCCTCAGCCTCCCCACTTCAAGTCATTAGCAGCTCTCCCCAACCCCCTCCCCTCCGCTTGGGAAAATTTTTCGTCTTCCCTATTCTTTGGCTAGTGTCCGACCAAGAGAAAATGATCATTCTCTCTTGGTCCGACTTAATGTACATTATTTGTTTATTTATGCAGTTACGTATATCAAGTGGCGGAACTGAGCGGCATGTTTTTAGCCTCCCTTACCTTATTATGCTTAAAAGTTCTGTCTTTTTTTTCCACCCTATTTTTGTTCGCAACCAATCTTTGATACCCTATCTATTTCAGTCCACGCAACGGTGGGCACTCTTATACATTCTCCAAGCTTTCAAATGCAGCTGTGGGCTTGCATCAACATTACCCTTACGATGGCTTCAATTATACGGATTTCTCAAGAAAAAAAAAATAAAGACGTAAAAGGGGCGTTTTCTAAAATTACTACCCAACTTCAGACCAAACCGTTTAATAACCTACTTCAAAACACGATCAATAAATTAAAGCTACACCCAAGAACAAGACAGGCTCAAAACCTACTCCCTTTAATAGCGCACACACTTAACAGGCTTAAAATCAATAAGAAAGTGCTTCCCCCACCCCACCCATTTCTAACCTGTATCTAGCCTGCATTACAGGCCCATAAGAAGGATAAGGCGCGAGATAAGCGTGTGAGAGAGCAGAGAGCGCGCGCAAGAGGAAAGAGCGCCATCGTCCCTTTTTTGCACCCTTTCTGAACGCCTTACTTTTTCTCATGTCCCTGTTTTTCACAATTTAATACACATGTAGTATTACACAACTCTCCGACAAATTCCCAAGAGGATTTTTTAGACACCTAAAATGTTCTGCAGAAGAAGACCAGCTAGGAGAAGGTTGGTGACTGCATCCCAGCAATTGCTCTTTCGGTGAAAATACCAACGCAGGTCATCATTTTTCGCTTCTACACCTCAAAATAAATGAAAGGATGCAAATTCACCAAAACGGTATTTGTATTGTGGGGAGAAAGTTTCTGTTTGAATAATCAGAGTTTTGAGAACCAAGACTTTGGGAAATATGTATTCATTGGTATCGTATGTCATGGAAGAGCAGGTGATTCAATTTCCCGTGTTCCATGCACTTGCTCATATAAATTGATAAAAATACCTTGTCCACTAAACTTCCTCAGACTACTGGGACATATAAATCATGTTATGCACGTATGGTGTAATAATGATGGTCTGCATATATCCTAGGCCACTGCCAGACATGGCGACCATGTCCTTTCCCCAGCTCAGTGCCTGCCGCAACAAACCAATAATTGAATTTTTCTTATTTTGCACTGTCTTTTTACAGTGTTGAAGCCTTTAAGATTCGTTTGTAGTACTTGAAATTTAGTGGAATGTAGAAATCTTTCTCAGGTACTTGGCAATATGCATGTAGCAACCTTTCTCTCCAAGGTTTTTATGTCGTTTCCTTGTTGAGGTACTCCAGCAGCTCTCCATTTTTCTTTGCATTGAAACCAAAGAAATTTATGACCAGTATTAGTAAGTTTCTTGGATAGTCCTTCAAGTGTTTAAAAATCGTTAAGCTTTAAAACAGCAGCAGACGGGTCATTTTGTATTCACAAGAAGGTTAAACGTGGCAATTACAAGAGCGTTGCTGACTTCTGGTTTGAGATCGAGAGTTTTGTTCAGTTCCAAGGTGCACTTAACAAACATAGTGGATACATCTTTCAAGTCCACAAAACGTTGGGGGAAAACAATGTGTCGAAGTAAGTTGATATTTTTCTTGCTATACTTATAAATTATTTATTTTCATAGAAACTTTAGGGATGTACAATATATCTTCTGGCCTATGAAATGTTGGAGTGTGAAAGAATTTCGCGGCCAGGACTAAGCTCTCTGTTAACGTCTTCAAATCATTTTTACGTGCGAGTGCTATTGGGACAGGAAGGCGTAGAAAAACAAGAATGTGTAGTTTAAGCTACTTCAAATTGGATTAGTACAAAGAAAGGTCAAAGCACAAAGGTAGTCTCCAAATGGAAATCTGAGCATGTTTCAGTTCGGGTCGGTAAAGAAGGGTTCTCCAGCGCCTGAAGGGTAATTTAATTAGGTTTTTTTAAATACTAAAACACGAAATGACATTCTACGAGGTTTATTATGGCCTAAAATAAGCTAATGATCTACAGTGGGCTAAAATGAAAAAAAAATGCAGATCTGAGAGAAAGAAAGTAAGGACATTTTCAAGGTAAAGAACCTACGCATCTGCAGTGCTATGATTAAAAAACATACCAGGGTGCACTTTGCACCAATCAAAACGTTGTTCCTGAGCAAGAACGGAAACTCTTCAAACAAAACAAAACTTTGTTGCTGAGCGAGTTGAAACTCTTCACTTTGCAGTCTGAACCAATCAAAACCTTGTTGCTGGGCAAAAGGTATAAAACTATAGCTTGGTGGCGCAGCGGGGACATGGGTATTTAGATTGGGAGGGGGTACAGTTGATGATGGGGGGTACCTTGCCTTGTCCCTGTACGGCGTTTTCCCAGTCCCTCTCGGTCAATTTGTTTCGGTGACGTATCCGAGGCGAACAGGCCAATCTTTACTTCAGCAGACCTTATTGACGCATGCGCATACAAAATGCCCTCCTGGGCCGAGTTGTTCAAAGCTGGGTTAAGATAACCCAGGGTTAGTGCGAGATTTGAATTCAGCTTTGAAAGCTTAAAAAGCGTTTCAATTTTAATTCTTTTTGTCTACAAGTTGATAATTGGAAGCTCTAAAAATAACAGAGAAAATTATCCGAGAAAATGCTTTTGAACGCAAGAAAAAGAAACCCGGGTTACATTTAACCCCGGGTTAAGTGCTAATCGGCCTTCGAACAACTGGAATATGCTTATTGAGGACATCAAACTGTAGAGCGTTTAAGAGGCGGCTTCTCCTCAATTGCTTGCACGTGATGTCAAGGCGGCCATGTTGGAGGTGAAGAAAAAAAGCATTTCTCCCCTCTTGCAGCTCTATTTTCATGTAAATTTTTCAAGAAAAGAATTGTTTTGTATTGACCTTCCACATGGCCGCCTTGTCACGTGGTTGCAGACCAAGAAGATAGCACTAGAACTTACTAACGACAGGAGGTTAACAGACAAGTCTCTTTACCAAAGACGCACAAATCTGGGTTTCTACTAAATAGCACGTTTCATCCTCACTCGGTTAAATGTCACTTTTTTCTTTCATTTAAAAAAAAAATCTTGGAGATTGACTCTGTCGTCGAAACTCGAGCCCCTGGCTTTATTTAGACCACTTCGAAAATATGGGCTTTGAAAAAGCACCATTGTCTGGGAATTGAGTTTCTTATATTGCAACTAACTAAAGGACGCGTCAAAAGCCTAAATGATAGCATGTATCATTTCTGCTGAATTGGCCACATTCCCAGGCTCCGTAATATTTAAATACGTTGTGAAAATAAAATGTCATTACGAAAGTCCAAATGTTGGCTCGTATCACTAAAGTGGGCAACAAAAACTTGTTTTGCGGCATTACATCGGGATGTTGTTCAAACCTTGCAAGAAATCAGAAAGTTGTTGCAATATTGGGAAGAGTTGTTTCAGAAAGTAGTTCTTCTTTTTGCAAAAAAATCTGTACATGTTTACGTTGCACATTTTACCAGCCCGGTGTAAGCTTGTTTTGCAGCAACTGACGTAAATCCCCTGTATGGCGTGACTCAATCAAATTATAAGTCATTATTCACACAACTTATCTTTTTAAATATGCATTTAATCTTAAGCGTTTCTTCTCGTTTGTTTCATTGTGTTCGAAGACATGATTTACATTATCTTTTCTATATTTTTTGTCGATAGATTTCTATGATATACATCTTTTAAAGCTAGTGCCTTTGTGTATTTTTAATTAACATAGTCAATGATCAAAATTAATTAATAATATTATAATTATTTTCAATTTAATGTGCTTAGGGAAGCAACTATTTAGAAATACACTGTAATATATTGTTAGTAAAGGTAATAACATGATTTGTGGTGATATTTGGCATAAATACCACAAGTGATATTTCAAAATTGTTAATTTCACGAGCCGTCAGGCGGGTGAAATATGAGACAGTTTTAAAGTATCCCGAGTGGTATTGTAATTGCCTATATAAAGCTTCTTACGTGGTCTCTCTTCACCCAGGTGAATAAATAGGTACTGGCAACATATTGCGGGAATGGGAGGGGGGAGGAGGGTTAACACTGCGATGGTTTGTTTGGACTAACATCCCACTGAGGGGGAGTATGCAAAAAAAAGGCTTTAACCCCCCCCAAAACACACACACACACACACACACACACTTCAGTGATCATAAAACAACAGGACTTAATATAGTTTGTAGTATTAAGTCCCTGTACGTAGAGGTTCTCCTCAGCCTCCCCCCGTCATTAGCAGTCCCCTCCCCCCTCCCCCGCTCCCCACCGCTTGGGAAACTTTTTCGCCTTCCCTATTCCTTGGCTTGTGTCGGACTCTACCCAGTTCAAATTAAATTTTACACTAAAGGTTTGCTTTTTTCCACCCTATTTTTGATCGGAACCAATCTTCGATACCCAGTATTTTAGTCCACACAACAGTGGGCATTCTTATACATGTTCCAAACTACCCAGAAGCAGCAGTGGGTTTGCATCAACATTACTTTTACAATGGCTTCAATCTTACGGATCAGGATCCACCTTCAATCGAGTTATCAGTAATACCGTGCAACAAAAGCCACTAAAGGCGAGGCTGAACAACCCAGAAAAAAAATTTGGACAGCTAGGTCAAAGGTCAAAGCTTCCAGACCCAGTAACCAATCCTAGTTAGCAAGTAAATATTCCAAGGCTGATTGAGCTTTCACGCTCTTCGCTTCTCATAGTTGTTTCTTCCGCAAAACTGTTTCTTCCTGAACCGGAAATTGGCACATCATCCTGCTTGATACTGTCGCCTGTCTTTAGAAGGCTGTTGTTCAAATCGCCTTTGTTGCCATCACCACATGCTTCCGCCATTATTTCATTCCCGTCACAGGGTAATTGTTCATTGTTATTACTTGATTTTTCTTCCGAAGACTTCTTTGCGCTCTTCTCGCGAAGTGACCGCACAACGCGAGCACTCGGCCCATACTGCTCAAGCACATTGTTCATTGAGCAAAAATATGCTCGATACGAAAGCGAGACCCACAAATGCCAGGAGTACAAGTGAATAATCAGCGTTGTTCTTAAATTGCGGCAAGTAATCGCCAAAACCAATTGTACTCAAAGTCGTGAAAGTAAAGTAAAAACACTCGATATATGACCATCCCTTGTGTCTCAAGTAAACCAAGAGAGCCATTAATGGTAGTAGACAAAGCACAGTTACCACAATCGTTGTCATCGCAACTTTTAGCTCCACTTTTTGAGTTAGATGTGATCTTTTCAAAACGCGTTTCTCAAAGTTTGTAATTAATTTTGTAAATAGTTCCGTTATTTTATCTCCGATGGATTTTAGAGTCAAGCATGTCCCAGGGATTCCGATAAGTGCGTACAAAACAGACGTCCTTGAACTGTTTTTGGGACGATGTTACCATAGCCTGCAAACAAATTCATTTTTGTATAAGCACAACCAAGGAGGATCATAACAGTTGTAAGATAAGAAAAAAATCTGTGATTACTTTTCCTTCGGGTCACCTCGCGGTGCATTGCCAAAAAGGGTCCCGCCCCCTTTTTTTAACCAATAAGGGGCAACGCCAAAGCCAACTGAACTTGCTTGGACGAGTCTTCCCTCGCATAATGTCTTCTCGATGTATTTGCTCTAATCAACTTAAAGCTACTAAAGTGCAAGAAGGCATGATTGTAGCTATTTTAAGGCTTCAACGCGCTGCTCAAGGAATTAATGTAAAAATGGCAGTATAGGAGCCTGTCTTAAGGGAAAGTAAAGTGAAAGAGGGCCTTAGCGTTGTGTTCCTATATAATCGGCTTCGCAAAATTGTTTAAGATGTGTTCGAACGTATCTGTATGTTTCTTGCTGTACGCATGTTAACGGCTATCAAACGAGATTAAATTGCCTAAGAAAACGCTATTAAAGGCTGTCATTTTCACTTTTTTCACATATTGTGATAACCCTGTCGGGGTCATTTTATTTATATATTAAAAGAACAACCAAAATATACATAACAAACGTTGTTACCCACTCCGAATTGAAAAATGTATGATATGGTTTTAGTTTTTCTTTTTTTAACCAACCAAAAATTCAGTGTGTAGCACATTTTTTTTATCAGTTCAAGTCTCCTCGGATTTGGAGATTTTCATTTAAAATGTATACTAATAAAAGTGGAAAGAATGAAAAAAAAATTAAGCTCTATAACTCACTCTCTCAGGTACAATTATTTTTCTGAGTGCAACTGAAACCCGGGGGCCACTTACTATCTATAAGGGGATACTCCGCCCGACAGGGCTTCCTAAGACTTAAGGTTATGTAACAAAGAGTCGGGAATTCAGGAGTTGAAGTATTCTTTGTTTGCAGCCACGTGACAAGGCGGTCATCTTGGCGGTCAATACAATGTAATTTTTTCTTGAAGAATTTACATGAAAATAGAGTTTAGTTCCCAGAAAAGAGAAGTGCTTTAGTTATTAGCCACCAAGTTGCCGCCGTGACGTCACGTGCAAACCAGCAATATGAAAGGGAAGGAAAATCTTTTCTTCAAGTATTTGAGGTGGCTCGATATCTCCCAATACCTTCCAAGTTTGGGCTGTGGACAGAGGGGCTGTGGATGACGTTTCTTTTTTCTTTCATATCATTTTCCAGACCGTTGTTGCGGAAAGTAGTTTAAAATAGATTAAATGTCATCAACCATGGCTGAAGAAGTAAAAATCGTAAATGACTCCATTACGTGTTTTAGCTAATAAGGTGTTCAACATGAAAGGGGTTAAGGGGGTCTGGATGAGGTTAACTGACAACTGACAAATGGCCAAAATTTTAACTGACAAATGACAAATAGCCTAAAATTTAACTGACAACATTTGCCTTGGAGTTTACTGACAACTAACAAAGGACTTGATTGTCCCTTATTTTCCACAAAACCCGTTTTAAGGCCTCTAAAGAGAATTGTTCCACTCTTTTTGTCAGACAATGTGAATCAAATGCGCGTTTTGCGGGTAATCTTAGCAGCAAGACACTTAAGTGTCATATTTCGTCAATCATTTACTGTAAAACCCAAGTGTGTCATGTACTACGTGTTGTAAATGACCTATGATCTCAAATTTATACGCTCCTTCGAGAACTCGCCAGCATATGACGTCTGATAATGAGAGCGTTACAAAAGTAATTGCAAGTTTTTACCGAGATGATTCAGATACGGTCTATCTTGGTTTTTGTTACGATCTTCGTTCCGATATTATACCCGCCAACGTTTTGTGAGCCAAATGCATGAGATTTTCACCTCGTCATGACCGAGACTAGTTACGGAAAAGTCCTGGCGATTTCCGAAGATTTCCGACGAATTTCCGAAGATCAACTTCCAAGCGTTGCCGAAAATTAAATGTCTGCAGATGTTCCGAAGACGTTTGAGCTCTTCCGAAGCTACTTAAAAGATGAAAATCTTAGCGCGCTTTTTGAGCTCTTCCGAAGCTACTTAAAAGATGAAAATCTTAGCGCGCTTTAACTTCGTTATAGACTGCAAAACAGTCCGTACTTTTGCGTATTCAAGTAAGCGCGAACAGTCGTGTGAGACCCTTACGCTACGCTGAACAGATTTTGACAAAAAAAAAAACCCAGCTGTCTGCAGTCGACTAGTTAGAACACAAATAAGGACACAAAGTCATCAGTGTTAAGGAACAATTTGTCCGGATTTGTGAGTCAGGCGTGAGAAATTGCCCTTGATGCGCGAGATCGATTACACTAGTCCACAGGCAAGAGACTCGCGCATAATACGTGAGTTGGTAAGTACGTATACTAAATATTCTGAAGGTATAAATTTTGATTGGCTTAATGGTTGGAAATGTTGGACTCTGGCCAGCAGAAACGTTCAGGTGGAGGAGAGTAACAGAAGACTTGAAAATGGGAGGGCCATGCCACTTGAAATGCCAACAACTAGCAAAACTGGTAAAAATTAAGGCACTATTGCATAAGTTTCCGAATTTAATTTTCATTTTACATTATTTGTGCCTTTGGTTAAATTTCGCAACAGAAACATACAATCATTAAAAATCATTTAACTGACAACTGACAAAAAGCCTAAAATTTAAGTGACAACTGACGAATGGCCAAAATTTTAACTGACAAATGACATTTGTACCCCCCTCCCCCATCCAGACCCTCGTTAAAGAATGCCGATTTATTGAATAAATCTTTGTCCTTGAAAAACTGTAATTTGTCCTTGAAAATCGGTGAAAAATCCTTGAAATATTTTTGTCTGAAGCTGTTCGAGGTAAAAGCCGAAAAGGCAGTTTTAGTTTGGTGCGGCAAAAGCGTTAAGTTCGGCAGAGTCGACACACGGTGCGCCGTCTGAATCAGATTCGCTCCAAAGTCGAAATTTGGTTCAATTAGGTTCGGCACAAGAAAAGTATGGCGTCTGAATCAGGCCTTAGGCCTTAATCCACCCTGATCCCTATATGTTTGAAACCGCATACGTTTTTACACGAAACGGTCTTCCGTTCACACGAAACCAGCAGTGAATCCGGACACAGAAACCGCATTGTTTGGAAACCGCTTTCCAGAGCTGTTTGAGGTCCCTGATCAGTTCGTGTTTACATGGACCGCAGTGTTCTTATGTTCTTTCGTAAATTTAACCACTTGCATTACCATTAAAGGCTCTTCACAGGTTCAGATCATTAATTTTAATGTGAAAATCATTTTGGTGCCATAACAAGCTGGGGATATGCTGTCACAGTAGCAAAAAAATGTTCCCAAAACTTGCATATCTGTCTGGTCATTAATTTATGCCTAAACGTACTTTAGACTATGATCGGTTTTCATCCAGCTTTAACTTGGATTTAACATGGAAAATCAATGGGATCATTTCCAACAAGACATTTTCAAGAAAGCAAACCACAGTATGGTGATCCTGACAAATTTTCATCCAAGCCTCGAAGAAAAACAAAAATTTTAGCACCGAGCATAAAAATTTCAACTCCTATGGGTTGCAGAATGCTAGCATTTACAATTCCTCAATCAACGAGCACAAATGTTTACAAAGATATGCTATGGATATACTGGAAGCCTAACAGGAGACTTTCATGGCCAAATAACGAAAAATTACAAAGAGAAGGAAATAACCATTTTTAAGTGAATAATGACTGACCCAAAATAAAAAATAAAATAATAGTAATAATAAAAAACAATGCGCCACATTATTCGTACACGCCGGAATTAAAATGGAAATTAAAGAGAAATATGCAGTGTGAAGTAAAAATGGTCAAAAAGTGAATTAATACAGATGGAATTTGATGCCAGGAATTTGTGCCAAAATTATTTGATGGTAGGAAAACTCATCATAAACTTATCTTGATGTTCAAGTATCGCTGCCCCTAGAGGCAATAAAAAACGGGACGGCAAAAAAGGTACTTTATTTGATTGTCGAGGTATTTACTACGGCAGAATTAAAACAACCCTTCAAACTGATCCGTCACAAATTTACTGGAGACTCTAGATTGCATCGTTGCTATTCTTGATAGAGCTGTTCAAGTAGATTGTGTGTATTTAGACATGTCCAAAGCCTTTGATAAGGTTAGACATGACCTCCTTATGGAAAAACTGCGGAATTCTGGCTTCGGAGGGAACCTGCTCACATGGTTTCACGCGTATCTCTGTGGCAGGCGCCAACCTGCCACCGTACTAGGCGCGACATCACGTGACCTACCTGTCACCTCTGGAGTCCCACAGGACCTGCTCTCTTCTTGTTATATGTGAACAACCTTCCAGATTCTATCCTCAATAGCAAAGTAGCAATGTTTGCAGATGACACTAAAGTATACAAGGTAGTGATGTCTGAGGATGATGGCGCTGCAGTCCAACAAGATCTGGATAAACTGTCTTCATGGTCCGCTGCCTCTGGGCTAGCCTTCAATGATAAGAAATGCAAGCTTCAGACCATTACGATGAAACGCAAGCCCATCTGTACGAGCTACGAGGTTAATGGCAGTACCATCAAGTCCAATGAGGTAGAGCGTGACCTTGGCGTCTCCTTGGACTGTGACTTGACTTGGCACGCCCAAGTCTCTCACCAAGCTGCACGCGCAAACAAGCTGTTAGGTTTCGTTAGGAGGAACTCTAGGTTTATTCACAGTATTCCCGTAAGGCGCACATTATACCTAACCCAGGTCTGGGCGCCCCAAGGCATTGAACTAATTTCTTAACTCGAAAGTACCCAAAGACGTGCCACCAAATTCATTCTTTGCTTGCCTTGTTTTACTAGTGTTTGCATATCTTCAGTGTTTTTTTTTCTGTATTCTTCAGGGCAAAGCTAATAAAATAAATAAAATAAATAAAATAATTCCGAAAGAATCTTGTCTTATATAAACCTGTCTCGCCTTAACGTTAGAGAGTGAAGGATGCGGAAAAGTTTGCGGTAGAATTCTCCTGAGTCCTGACTGATGCTATTCGTACCTCTACCTTTATTATGGAAAACAATGCGGCCACCTGGCTCTGTCGCTTTTGTTTCCGTTTGAAGAAGTTTGACTTTAGTTACATACTGAAATTGATATTGTCAATTCCTTTTTTTTTTTTTTGAGGGGGGCGGGGAACCGCCTTAATTCGAGAATGAAAGAAATAAGCTAGAAAATGTATATCAATAAACTAGTTAGTCCGCTAATGAGCTTAGGGGCACCTCTGCTATTTGTTTACTAATAATTTCCCTCATTTTTAACTTTTAACCTTTAAATCCAGTGATTTCCAATTTTTTAAAATTTCGAATCAATGCATGACTTCGATCAAGAGCCATTATGGCTCTTCCTTCCTTATGATTGAATGGTCCAGGTTGAATGGCAATATTTCAAAGAAGAAGGGAACAAAAAAATGACCAGAAAAGGCTTTTAACCGACCCTACCCCAAAAACAAGAGCCCTAAACCAGGACCTAAGCATCAAAACTCGTCAAGTTTGTGCGTTGTTCAGACGCCGCGAAGGCAAGCGCGAGGTGGGTGACATCTTGCTGCAATAGGTGGTGGGGGGAGGGGGTAGTAACACTGCGATGGACTATTTAAACTAGCATCCCATCCAGGGGGGAGTATGCTGAATGCTGCAAAAAGCTTGTTAACCTCCTGCTGTGTGGGCTTCGTCAGGAACCGCGGAGCCCGAGAGGCTAAAAAAAAAAAGGCTTTAGCCACCTCCCCCCGCCTCCATCACTTTTTCAGAAAAAACAAACACTTACTAAGAGGAGTTTCTCCTTAGCTTCCCCACTTCAAGTCATTAGCAGCCCCCCTTCCCCTCCGCTTGGGAAAATTGTTCGTCTTCTCTATTCCTTGGCTAGTGTCCGACTTAATGTGCATTATTTGTTTATTTATGCAGTTACGTATATTAAGTGGTGGGGCTGAGCGGCATGTTTGTAGCCTCCCTTACTTTATTTTGCTTTAAAGTTCTGTTTTTTCCCACCTATTTTTTGTTCGGAACCAATTTTTGATACCCTATCTATTTCAGTCCACACAACGGTGGGCACTCTTATACATGTCCCAAGCTTCAAAAAGCATCTGTGGGCTTGTATCAACATTACCCTTGCAGTGGCTTAAATTATTCGGATTTCTCAAGAAGGAAATAAAAAGTAAAAGGAGCGTTTTCTAAAATTCCTACCCAACTTCAGACCAAACTCTTTATTAATCTACTTCAAAACACGATCAATAAATTAAAGCTACACCCAAGAACAACATAGGCTCAAAACATACTCCCTCTAATACCGCACACACTTAATAGGCTTAAAATCAATAACAGAGTGCTTCCCCCACCCCACCCATTTCTAGCCTGTTTCTAGCCTGCATTACAGGCCCATAAGAAGGGGATAACGCGTGAGATAAGCGTGCGAGAGAGGAGAGAACGCGCGCACGAGGAAAGAGCGCCATCGTTCCTTTTTTGCATTCTTTCTGAACCCCTCACTTTTTCTCGTGTCCCTTTTTTTCACAATTAAATACACATGTAGTATTGGACAACTCTCCGACAAATTCCCAAGAGGATTTTTTAGACACCTGAAATGATCTGCAGATCAAGACCAGAAATTTTACTCCAGGAAAAAAGTACTAAGCATGCGTGATGTGCCCATTTAGTTTTGTTTCTTCTCCTTAATACCATGCAACAAAATCTACTAAAAGCGATGCTGAACAACCCGGAAAAAACTTCTACAGCCTGGTCAAAGCTTCCAGAACCCAGTAACCAATCTTATTTAGCAAGTAAATATATTCCAAGGCTAATTGAGCTTTCACGCTATTTGCTTTTCATAGTTGTTTCTTCCGCAAAACTGTTTTTCGAGAACCTGAAATTGGCACATCGTCCTGGTTGGTACTGTCGCCTGTCTTTGGAAGACTGTTATTCAAATCGCCTTTTTTGCAGTCATTATAAGCTTCCACCATTATTCCGTTCCCGTTACAGGGTAATTGTTCATTGTTATTACCGTTTTTTTTCCTCTGAACACTTCTTTGCGTTCTTTTCGTGCAGTAACCGCACAACACGCGCAGTACTAACCTCTTACTGCTCAAGCAAACGCTCGAAGAACAAGTGAGTAATCAGCGCTGTTCTTAAATTGCCGAAAGTAATCACCCAAACCAATTGTACTCAAAGTCGTGAAAGTAAATTGAAAACACTTGATATATGACCATTCCTTGTGTCTCACGTAAACCATGCAAGAGAGCCATTAATGATAGTAGGCAAACCACATTTACCACAATCGTTGTCAACGTAACTTTTAGCTCCACTTTTTCAGTCAGATGTGATCTTTTCAAAACGCGTTTCTCGAAGTAATCTGTTTGTAATTAATTTTGGAAATAGTTCCGTTATTTTATCTCCGATGGATTTACGAGTCAAGCATGTTCCAGGCATTCCAATAAGTGCGTATAGCACGCAAAACAGACGCCCTTGAACTGTTATTGGGACAATGTTACCATAGCCTGCAAAAAGAAAATCATTTTTTATAAGTCACAACCAAGGAGGGAGGCATTTGAGTCATTGTCAGATGGGAAAAAATTTCGTGATTACTTTGGCTTCAGGCCACCTCGCGGTGCATTGCCAAAACAATACCCGGCGAGAAATATGAGCAACAATTTGAAAAAATATCCGTACTACGCGTAGTGGCGTAGTTTTATGCGTAATCGTTCTTTGCAGTTCGTAACAAACTATTGCGTTAAATGAAAAGAATTTATGAGCACTGATATGCATTTTGTAACTACTGTTTGCTGCGTCTTTTATACTTCCCATTACAGTAAACTTAGCCAGTAGCCTTTTTAAGCCTTGTAAGCCTTGTAAGACCTTTTCCTCAACAGATACTGTTGTTGCCTAATTATTGTCCAAAAGCAAAGAAAGTTTTGTTACTAACAGAAAACAGTTATAATAGCTTTTCACTAACATCTAGTTCATGAGTAAATCTTAAGTACAACTAGGCCGTACTAGCGTAGTAGCGTAGTACACTGTATGACAAGTCTTACAATTATACAAAAAAGAAAGTCAATATTCCTTACAGGTAGGCCGTAGTAGCGTAGTACACGGTATCAAGTCTTACTACATATAAACCGAAGTAAATCTTCAGTACAAGTAGGCCGTGGTAGCGCAGTAGCGTAGGAAACGGTATCACAAGTCTTACTTTATAAGCCGAAGTAAATCTTAAGTACAAGTAGACTGTACTAGCGTAGTAGCGTAGTACACTGTATGACAAGTCTTACAATTATACAAAAAAGAAAGTCAATATTCCTACAGGTAGGCCGTAGTAGCGTAGTACACGGTATCAAGTCTTACTACATATAAACCGAAGTAAATGTTAAGTACAAGGAGGCTGTACTAGCGTAGTAGCGTAGTACACTGTATGACGGCTATAACCATAAAAAAAAAAAACAGAAGTCAATATTCTTTACAACCAGGCCGTAGTAGCGTAGTAGCATAGTAGCTTGGTACAAGGTATCACAAGTCTTACTATCTAAACCGAAGTAAATCTTAAGTACAAGGAGGCCGTATCAGCGCAGTAGTGTAGTAATCTGTATGACGACTATTACCATAAAAACACAGAAGTCAAGATATTCTTTACAACTAGGCTGTAGCAGCGTAGTAACACAGTACAAGGTATCACAAGTCTTACTATATAAACCGAAGTAAATATTAAGTACAAGTAGGCCGTAGTAGCGTAGTACACTGTATGACGACTATTACTATACAAAAAGAAAATCAATATTATTTATACACAGGCCGTAGTAGCGTAAAGCGTAGTACATAGTCTGGCGTGTCTTGCTGTACCCTCACAAAGGCCGTACTGGAGAGGAGAAGTCGTCATGTTGCTATGGCAGCAAAATTTTTGGATGACAACGAACCAAAAACGACTCTTACATAGTGATTTCAAACTGTTTCAAACTTCGATCTAATTCAGGTTCATTTCATTCGTTAAATGTTTCTGGAGTGGAATCCGAAAGTCTGACCGTATCTGACCTTAGAAAACAAACCAAAATTTTTTTGCTGTGTTCACAAATTCCTTATAGAGCGGGCGCGTGAAATTAGGAAGTTCTCTGTAGATGCGAAAGATTAGCTTAATACCTTGTCTGTAATAATTTTTAAGGGCACTTTACCTAGTACACGCGGGGACGTGTAGCTCGTCCAAGTGACACCCACCCCTTAAATAACAATTTTTTGAAATAGTTACTTAACCTATTAATTTTCAATCAAGTCTATATAATCTATCCTTAGTACATGCGGGGACGTGTGCGTCGTTCAAGTGATACCTGCCCCTTTAATAACGATTTCATACTGTCCTATTCTTGCTGAAAACAGGCCATTTAATAGCCAATCAGATTTGAGAATTTTGTTCTCGCTATGTTTAACTTACTAGTAAGAGTAAGGTGTACTAGTTTCCCCGAGATAAGAGTAATGTGTCTATTAACATTCAGAACTACGTTCACACTACACTATTCAGGACTACGTTCACCCGGACAGTCAAACTCAACCTACTTTTGAAATGACTCCTGGGTTCAAACCTTTCGCAGTATCTATTAACACTTGCTTTCTTGTTTTGTGTTAAATACCCCTCCCGTCTTTGCAGTTTCGAGAGCAAGAAGTTCTGAAATCTGCATTTTTTCTCAGAACCACTATCGTCAAATGATTAGGGGTTCCATGTTAACTTGAACTGGTGGTGCTGTTCAAATTCTTGTCACTTGCTTCGCTTCATCCCTTTCTTTCGTACCCTCGTTTCACCCATTCTTGTCCTAGTACTTCTTTCTGGAGTTTTTCAGCTACGAGAAGGTTGGTGACTGCATCCCAGCGATTGCTCTTTCGCTGAAAATACCGACGCGGGTCATCATTTTTCGTCTCTACACCTCAAAATAAATGAAAGGACGCAAATTCACCAAAAGGGTATTTGTATTGTATTGTGGGGAGAAAGTTTGAATAAACAGAGTTTTCAGAACCAAGACTTTGGGAAATATGTATTCATTTGTATCGTATGTCATGGAAGAGCAGGTGATTCAATTTCCCGTGTTCCATGCACTTGCTCATATAAATTGATAAAAATACCTTTTCCACTAAACTTCCTCAGACTGCCATGCTTTTTCATCATTTGTGGGACATGATAAATCATGTTATGCACGTATGGTGTAATAATGATCGTCTGCATGATCCTGGGCCACTGCCAGACATGGCGACTATGTCCTTTCCCCAACTCAGTGCCTGCAGCAACAATGAAACCAATAATTGAATTTTTTTATTTTGCGTACTCATTGTACAGTGTTGAAGTCTTTAAGATTCTTTTGTAGTACTTGAAATTTAGTGGAAATGTAGAAATCTTTCTCAGGTACTTGGCAATATACATGTACCAACCTTTCTCTCCAAGGTTTTTATGTCGTTTCCTTGTTGAGGTACTCCAGCAGCTCTCTATTATTGTTTGCATTGAAACCAAAGAAATTTATGGGTATTAGTAAGTTTCTTGGTTAGTCCTTCAAGTGTTTAAAAATCGTTACGCTTTAAAACAGCAGCAGACGCGTCATTTAAGAGCGTTGCTGACTTCCGGTTTGAGATCGAGAGTTTTGTTCAGTTCCAAGTTACACTTAACAAGCATAGTGGATACATCTTTCAAGTCCACAAAACGTTGGGGGAGAACAATGTGTCGAATTAAGTTGATATTTTTCTTGCTATACTTATAAATAATATATTTTCATAGAAACTTTGGGAATGTACAATATATCTTCTGACTTATGAAATGTTGGAGTGTGAGAGAATTTTGCGCCCAGGACTAAGCTCTCTGTTAACATCGTCGAATAATTTTTACGTGCGAGTGCTATTGGGACAGGAAGGCGTAGAAAAACAAGAATGTGTAGTTTAAAGGTAGTTTCGAAATGGAATTCTGAGCATGTTTCAGTTCGGGTCGGTAAAGAAGGGTTCTCCAGCGCCTGAAGGGTAATTTAATTAAGTTTTTTTAAATACTAAAACACGAAATGACATTCTACGAGGTTTATTATGGCCTAAAATAGGCTAATGAACTGCAATGGGCTACAATAAAAAAAAGATGCAGCTCTGAGAGAAAGAAAGTAATGAAATGTTCAAGGTAAAGAACCTATGCATCTGCAGTGCTATGATTAAAAAACATATTCCAGGGTGCACTTTGCACCAATCAAAACCTTGTTGCTGAGTAAGAATGGAAACTCTTCAAACCAAACAAAACTTTGTTGCTGGGCAAAAGGTATAAAACTATAGCTAGGTGGCGCAGCGGGGAAATGGGTATTCAGATTGAACGGAGGTACAGTTGATAATGGGGGGTACCTTGCCTAGTCCCTGTACGGCATTTTCCCACTCCCCCTCGGTCAACTCGTTTCGGTGACGTATCCGAGGAAAACGGGCCAATCTTTACTTCAGCAGACCTTATTGACGCATGCGCATACAAAATGCCCTTCTGTTCAACTGCTAGAGAAGAGAATATGCTTATTGAGGACATCAAACTGTAGAGCGTTGAAGAGGCGGCTCCTCCTCAATTGCTTGCACCTAATGTCACGGCGGCCATGTTGGAGGTGAAGAAAAAAAGCATTTCTCTCCTCTTGCAACTCTATTTTCAAGGAATTTCTTCAAGAAAAAATTGTTTTGTATTGACCTTCAACATAGCCGCCTTGTCACGTGGTCGCAGACCAAGAAGATAGCACTAGAACTTACTAATGACAGGAGGTTAAATGACAAGTCTCTTTACCAAAGACGCACAAATCTGGGTTTCTACTAAATAGCACGTTTCATCCTCACTTGTTAAATGTTACTTTTTTCTTTCATTTAAAAAAAAAATATTGGAGATTGACTCTGTCGTCGAGACTCGATAAGGAGCCCCTGGCTTTATTTCGATCACTTCGAAAATATGGGCTTTGAAAAAGCACCATTGCATGTCAAGAATCGAGTTCTTATATTGCAACTAAATAAAAGACGCGTCAAAAGCCAAGTAAATGATAGCATGTATCATTTCTGCTGAATTAGCCACGCTTCCAGGCTCCGTAATATTTAAATACGTCGTGAAAACAAAATGTCATTACGAAAGTCCAAATGGTGGCTTGCATCACTATAGTGGGCAACAAAAACTTGTTTTGCGGCATTACATCGAGATGTTGCGCGTCCCACGAATCAAACCTTGCAAGAAATCAGAAGGTTGTTGCAAGTTGCGAAGAGTTGTTGCAGACAGTAGTTCTTCTTTTTGCAACAAAATCTGTACGTGTTTACGTTGCATATTTTACCGGCCCAGTGTAAACTTGTTTTGCAGCAACTGACGTAAATCCCCTGTATGGCGTGACTCACACGTAGTTTTATCAAATTAGAAGTCCTTACACAAGCAACTTATCTTTTTAAATATGCATTTAATCTTAAGTGTTTCTTCTCGTTTGTTTCATGTTTTTAGAAGACATGATTTACGTCATCTTTTGTATATTATTTCTAGATAGAGTTCTATGATATACTTTTTTTTTAAGCTAGTGCTTTTGTAAATTTTTAATTAACATAGTCAGTGATCAAAATTAATTAATAATATTATAATTATTTTTAATTTAATGTGCTTAGGGCTGCAACTATTTAGAAAAACACTGTAATAAATTGTTAGTAAAGGTAATAACATGATTTGTGGTGATATTTGGCATAAATACCACAAGTGCTATTTCAAAATTGTTATACGTAATTTCACGAGCCGTCAGGCGGGTAAAATATGAGACAGTTTTGAAGTATCACGAGTGGTATTGTAGTTGCCTTAGCTCCTTACATTGCCTCTCTTCGCCCAGGTGAATAAATAGGTACTGGCGACATATTGCAGGAATGGGAGGGGAGGTGGTAACACTGCGATGGACTATTTGGACTAACATCCCTTTCAGGGGGGAGTATGCTGTATGTCGCAAAAACCTCGTTACGGCTCCAGGTGAATGGGTTTTGTCAGGGACGGCGGAGCCCTGGGGGACTGAAAAAAAAGAGGCTTTAGCCCCCCCTCCCCACTTCACCTTATATAAAACAAAAGGACTTAATACGTAGAGGTCAGAGGTTCTTCTGAGCCTCCCTCCTTCAAGTCATTAGCAACCCCCTCTCCCTCCCGACCGCTTGGGAAACGTTTTCGCCTTCCCTATTCCTTGGCTCGTTTCCGACTTTACCCAGTTCAAATTAAATGTACATTATTTGTTTACTTATGCAGTTACCTTAGTAGCGGGGCTGTACGGCATGTTTCCAGAATACCCTACCTTATTTTACACTGAAGGTTTCCTTTTTCGGATCCCCAGGCTATTTTTGATCGGAAGCAATCTTTGATACCCTATCTATTTTAGTCCACACAACGGTGGGCACTCTTGTACATGTTCCAAGCTACCCAGAAGCAGCTTTGAGTTGCGTCAACATTACTCTTACAATGGCTTCAATCATACCGATTTCTCAAGGAAGAGACAAAAAGGGGCGTTTTTTAAAATTCCTTCCCAACTTCAGACGAATATTTCTTTTACTAACCTACTTTAAAACGCGATCAATAGATTAAAGTTGCACCTAAGAACAACACAGGCTCAAAACCTACCCTCTTTAAAGGGGCTGTGTTACGGCAGTCGAGTTTATTTTTGTTTAATTTAGCCAATTACTCGACCTCAATCGCTATGGAACTTAAAGTAAGCAAAGAAATGACATGTAACTGACAAAATCAGGGATCCGAGACAAACAAATATGTCTCCTAAGCATAATTTTTGAAGTTAGCCTGTGTCTGGTCTGCATTACAGGTCTCTTAGAAGAATAACGCGCGAGATAAACATGCGAGAGAGGAGGGAACGCGCGCACGAAGAAAAAGCGCCATCTTGCCTTAATTTTTTGTAGCCTTTCTGACCCCCTTACTTTTTCTCCTGTTCCTGCTTTCCACAATAGTATTAGACAACTCTCCGACAAATTCCCAATAGGACTTTTTAGACACCTGAAGTGTCTTAAGCTGCAAACAGCGCGTAATGTGACCATTTAGTTTTGTTACTACTTCTTCTTGCTTTGCTTACTTTTTTTAGGCTACGTTTCTTGTCATGCTAGTGTTTCGAACCCATATCTCGGCCTGGATCCACCTTCAATCGAGTTATCAGTAATACCGTGCAAGAAAATCCACCAAAAGCGAGGCTGAACAATCCAGAAAAAATTTTCTTCAGCCGGGTCAAAGGTCAAAGCTTGCAGACCCAGTAACCAATCCTATTTAGCAAGTAAATATTCCAAGGCTGATCGAGCTTTCACGCTTCTTGCTTTTCATAGTTGTTTCTTCCGTAAAACTGTTTCTTCCTGAACCGGAAATTGGCACATCATCCTGCTTGGTACTGTCGCCTGTCTTTAGAAGGCTGTTGTTCAAATCGCCTTTTTTGCCATCACTACATGCTTCCGTCATTATTTCGTTCCCGTTACAGGGTAATTGTCCATTGTAATTACTTGATTTTTCTTCTGAAGACTTCTTTGCGCTCTTCTCGCGAAGTGACCGCACAACGCGAGCACTCGGCCCATACTGCTCAAGCACATTGTTCATTGAGCAAAATATGCTCGATACGAAAGCGAGACCCACAAACGCCAGGAGTACAAGTGAATAATCAGCGTTGTTCTTAAATTGCGGCAAGTAATCGCCAAAACCAATTGTACTCAAAGTCGTGAAAGTAAAGTAAAAACATTCGATATATGACCATTCATTGTGTCTCACGTGAACCAAGAGAGCCATTAATGGTAATAGACAAAGTACAGTTACCACAATCGTTGTCATCGCAACTTTTAGTTCCACTTTTTGAGCCTGATGTGATCTTTTCAATACGCGTTTCTCAAAGTTTGTAATTAATTTTGTAAATAGTTCCGTTATTTTATCTCCGATGGATTTTAGAGTCAAGCATGTCCCAGGGATTCCGATCAGTGCGTATAGCACGCAAAACAGACGTCCTTGAACTGTTTTTGGGACAATGTTACCGTAGCCTGCAAAAAAATTCATTTTTGTATAAGTCACAACCAAGGAGGATCATAACAGTTGTAAGATAAGAAAAAAATCTGTGATTACTTTTCCTTCAGGTCACCTCGCGGTGCATTGCCAAAAAAGTTCCCGCCACTTTTTTTAACCAATAAGGGGCAACGCCAAGGCCAACTGAAATTACTTGAAGGAGTTTTCCCTCGCATAATGTCTTCTCGATGTATTTGCTCTAATCAACTTAAAGCTACTAAAGTGCAAGAAGGCATGATTGTAGCTATCCTAAGGCTTCAAGGCGCGGCTCAAGGAATTAATGTAAAAATGGCAGTATAGGAGCCTGTCTTAAGGGAAAGTAAAGTGAAAGAGGGCCCTAGCGTTGTGTTCCTAAATAATCGGCTTCGCAAAATTGATTAAGATGTATTCAAACGTATTTGTATGTTTCTTGCTGTACGCATGTTGACGGCCATTAAACGAGATTAATTTACCAAAGAAAACGCTATTAAAGGCTGTCATTTTCACTTTTTTTACCAGTATTGTGATAACCCTGTCGGGATCATTTTATTTATATATTAAAAGAACAACAAAAATACACATAACAATTATAACGTTGTTACCCTCTCCAAATCGAAAATGTATGATATGGTTTTAGTTTTTCTTTTTTTAACCAAACGAAAATTCAGTGTGAACCACTTAATGTACATTTTTTTTTATCAGTTCAAAGTCTGCTCAGATTTGGTGATTTTCTTTTAAAATGTGTGCAAATAAAAGTGGAAAGTATGAAAGAAAAATTAAGCTCTATAATTCACTCTCTCAGGTACAATTATTTTTCTCAGTACAACTGAAACCCGGGGGCCACTCTCTATCTATAAGGGGATACTCCGACCGACAGGGCTTTCTTAGACTTAAGGTTATATATCAAAGAGTGGGGAATTCACGAGTTGAAGTATTCTTTGTTTGCAACCACGTGATAGGGCGGTCATGTTGAGGGTCAATACAATAGAATTTTTTCTGGAAGAATTTACATGAAAATAGAATTTTGTTCCCAGAGGAGAGTAATGCTCTTGTTCTTGACCACCAACATGGCCGCCGTGACGTCACGTGTAAAGCAGGAATATGAAAAGGTGGGGAAATCTTTTATTCAAGTATTTGAGGTTGCCCGATAGGGTTTTTCAGGGTTAATACCTCCCAAGTTTGGGCATAAACTACGTCACCAATGAGTAATTGCGTCATTTCGTTGCTATGACAACTCCGATGTCATTCCACCCTGATCATAACAAATTTTCTTCTTTATCTATTCAAGAGAGATCTAATACAAATGTCTCTGTTTATGACGACGTAGTTTACACTAAAACGTGGGAGGTATTGACCCGAAACACCCTATCGAGCCACCTTAAAAGGGCCTTTAATTAAGACGGAATCCACCAGAACATTGAGTAATTTTAATTTTCAGTGGACGAAAATCTCGCGCTTGTATCAAAATAATTTAATGAATATTTCACAAGAATTGTGATTGTACTATACAGGTAAAATTCTGAAAATTTTATGTGTAAGATGTAATTTTGTGAAATTTGACAATCATTTTCTCGGACTCCCATAAGAAATTTTTTTTGGTGTTACTACAGATGATTTATTAAATCTTTAGCCCTTGAAAAATGTAAGAAACAATGCAATATGCTTTAAATTATTCTGGTGCAAGATTTTTGTCCACTGAAAATCAAATTTACTCAATGTTCTGGTGGATTCCGCCTTGAAATGTTTCGCAAAGATGCGCCTTATGCCTCAATCATTTTAACTTATAAAACGTTTCGCGATAACGACAAGAAGACTTTTTGTTTTAGGGAATTTTTTATTAAGTAGGTTTGTTATAGGGGTAATTTTTTCAATGGAAGGTTTACGAAAGGGGTACTTTTTCTATCAAAAATGGCATATAAAAGGGTAAGGGTTGGAGCTCAGGGCGGAACCTCCCCATATAAGATTTTGTTGGAACTGAAGTACGAACGATTAATTTCAAAAGGGAGCGTGCAATTTCAAGAACAGATTAAACTGAATTCAGTACGAATTCAAAACAAGTCAAAAATGTCCTTTTTTACAGCTACAATAGCTGAAGTCATATACAAACATTTTTCAGACCTTTAAAGAAAGGCAACTACATTTAACTTTTCTTTTCAAACACAATTTGGTAAAATGCGTTATAATTTTTGCATTTAAATTGAGCTGAAATTCGAAACTATAAAAATCTTACCTATAGTTGTAACCACGACCATTGCAAATAGAAAAGAATTTCCGTAATTCCAGTGCAGAAAATCCTCATTTCCCATCGACGTAGAGGCGAACGTTTTCATCCATTTTTCAGCGTCTTCCGCAGTAATGTTATACCTGTTCAAAATTTCCATTCGCGTGGCGCGAACTCGATCTATTTCTTTCATCTGACGTTCGCTTTCAATAGCTTGAAAAATAAATGCACCAAGTAGGACGTAGATTGAAAATAAAGTCATTCTAATCAACAGAAGTTTGGAGCTGTCGGCAATAGCCATCGCCGTAGAATTTCAGTTCGCCTTTGACAAGTGGCTATCAAAAGTGCGACAATCTTTTGTCTGCGGTAAATCGCAGATTTATGAATATTTTATCAGAGAATTTTGTTCAACATAATTTAAAACTCTATCGCGTGTGCCAGTGCACTTGAATTCGAAAAAACCAATTTATAATTTGAATTTGTTTCAACTTGTGATACTCATTCTGCTTTTAACAGGCAAGATTTTACATCGAAATTCAAGTTAACTCAAATCGTAGTCTTTCAGTCATGGCAAAAACCAAGCCTTTGGTTTTTTTATGTGGAAAAGTTAAAACAAGTCACACACTCGGGTGGAAAATCGTGAGGTGGATAAAATTTATAGCAAAACCCACGCTGTGGATATATTCCCATAAATTTTCAGTTTGCCCATTAAGATTAATTATTGATAAGATAAACTTAAACTTGTCGAAAAATTAAGAAAACCTGTCACGTAAATCCATAAATGGTAACAACAATGATATCTTGCGGTATTAAAAACTCGAAGCGTTTTCGATTTCGCCACATGCTCGTTCTATTACCTCGTAATTATTCTGAAAGAATCGCCGAGTGTTATAGAAACAATTCATTTGTCGGTTTGTGAGTTCTTGAAGTTCTTCATGGGAGATTTAACTATGCCTTTGGCGTATTAATTTGAGAAAAATTTGGGGAGAATTTTAAAGTATGTTAGCTAATTATATAAATTATTAATACTACTGCTCAACCTTAGGAGGCTGCGTGGGTGGCAAAGATAATTAACCGTTGCGCTGCTTGTTTTCTCATCAGGAAGACCGTGTATTCATTTACGCATGAAAAGAGCGTGACCTGCGGTAATACGTTAGATTTATTGGAGCAAAAGAAAGTGATACATGGACAGTAAGGTGTGACATAGAAAGCAAAGTCAATATTTGTGGCGAGCATTGCTGTCAATGTGGCCTGGGTTCGAATCCTGTAGGCGACGAACCAAATATGAGTTGAGTTTGTGATTGGTTCTTGCTCCTCGAGAGGATTTTCTCCGCTTTCCCAGGGAGTGCGTTCCCAGGGGGTACTTGTCATTTCCTTGGGAACACTTAACTCCGGTGGGAAAATTAAATGGTCCGCGCCATTCCGTTTGGGAAGATTCAGAAAAAAAAAATGGGCTGTGATTTGAGTCAATGCAATTTTTTCCTCTCTTTTCAGTCTCTCAGCCCTTCAACTGATTTGGATGTGATATATTTTGTAGCGGATCGTTCTCCCCCCATGGCATTTTTCATCTCTCCTAACAATCTAACATTTCTAAATTCCACATCGATTTGTAATAGATAATGTGGACTAAGGGCCACAATGCAAAAGTACAGGCAAACTTAAAATCGTACTTTTATCGATTCCATACTTTTTATTTTCATACGATTGGATGGGTACTCTACCATGGCTGTGTAATTAATTTTCACCCATATGGTCGACGTAACATGGTTTAAAAAGGCTCTTAAACGTGTTATCTTAACACTGAAGCAATTATTAATTATTGGATGAGGCTGAGTAATACCTCAAGAATTATGAAGATCAAGGGTCTTGGGTCAGGAGAGAGAGCTTTAGATTCTGAGACTGAGGAGCGCTTACCATTTGTATGGAAAACCCGGAAATTGCGGGGAGAATTCAAATGGAATTGTTCATCCCGGGGGAAATTTTCCGGAAAAAAGGTAATACCTTTCAAGATATTACCTTTTTCCCGTTTTTACTGAAACGACCGAAATTTTTGGTACCATTTGTTTGGATTACCAGTGCCAGGCTTCAAGTCGAGAGAAAGCGAAAAAATTTACAGGTATTTTGTAAATGGTACAAATCAATCCCGTTCCTTGTTCGGTGCCAAAAAAAATACCAGTACCATTTGACGAAAATTTTTCACCAAAATTTCCGTAAGCGCTCAAGGACCACAACGATTACGAGATTTTCTCAATACTGAGTTGTGATCGCGCGTGAACCAGCGTAATTTTGGCGGGAAAACGTGATAGCCGTCTTCATTAATTCTACTAGGAGTTTTAGCGAGAATGTCGTAGTGGCGGAACAAGTAATCAAATTTTAGAAGTTTAATCATTTTGCGAGCGGGAAAGGGCTAAACCTTCTCCAATAATGACTGAAAAATAGTTCAATGAAGCTTTCCGGCTTGAATATTTTTCGACAATATTTCAGTTCGCCTTTGACAAGTGGCTATCAAAAGTGCGACAATCTTTTGTCTGCGGTAAATCGAAGATTTATAAATATTTTATCAGAAAATTTTGTTGAACATAATTTAAAACTCTATCGCGTGTGCCAGTGCACTTGAATTCGAAAAAACCAATTTATAATTTGAATTTGTTTCAACTTGTGATACTCATTCTGCTTTTAACAGGCAAGATTTTACATCGAAATTCAAGTTAACTCAAATCGTAGTCTTTCAGTCATGGCAAAAACCAAGCCTTTGGTTGTTTTATGTGGAAAAGTTAAAACAAGTCACACACTCAGGTGGAAAATCGAGAGGTGGATAAAATTTATAGCAAAACCCACGCTGTGGATATATTCCCATAAATTTTCAGTTTGCCCATTAAGATTAATTATTGATAAGATAAACTTAAACTTGTCGAAAAATTAAGAAAACCTGTCACGTAAATCCATAAATGGTAACAACAATGATATCTTGCGGTATTAAAAACTCGAAGCGTTTTGCATTTCGCCACATGCTCGTTCTATTACCTCGTAATTATTCTGAAAGAATCGCCGAGTGTTATAGAAACAATTCATTTGCCGGTTTGTGAGTTCTTGAAGTTCTTCATGGGAGATTTAACTATGCCTTTGGCGTATTAATTTGAGAAAAATTTGGGGAGAACTTTAAAGTATATTAGCTAATTATATAAATTATTAATACTACAGCTCAACCTTAGGAGGCTGCGTGGGTGGCAAAGATAATTAACCGTTGCGCTGCTTGTTTTCTCATCAGGAAGACCGTGTATTCATTTACGCATGAAAAGAGCGCGACCTGCGGTAATACGTTAGATTTATTGGAGCAAAAGAAAGTGATACATGGACAGTAAGGTGTGACATAGAAAGCAAAGTCAATATTTGTGGCGAGCATTGCTGTCAATGTGGCCTGGGTTCGAATCCTGTAGGCGACGAACCAAATATGAGTTGAGTTTGTGATTGGTTCTTGCTGGTCGAGAGGATTTTCTCCACTTATACCCAGGGGTCGAGTTCCCAGGGGTACTTATCATTTCCATGGGAACACTTAACTCCGGTGGGAAAATTAAATGGTCCGCGCCATTCCGTTTGGGAAGATTCAGAAAAAAAAAATGGGCTGTGATTTGAGTCAATGCAATTTTTTCCTCTCTTTTCAGTCTCTCAGCCCTTCAACTGATTTGGATGTGATATATTTTGTAGCGGATCGTTCTCCCCCCATGGCATTTTTCATCTCTCCTAACAATCTAACATTTCTAAATTCCACATCGATTTGTAATAGATAATGTGGACTAAGGGCCACAATGCAAAAGTACAGGCAAACTTAAAATCGTACTTTTATCGATTCCATACTTTTTATTTTCATACGATTGGATGGGTACTCTACCATGGCTGTGTAATTAATTTTCACCCATATGGTCGACGTAACATGGTTTAAAAAGGCTCTTAAACGTGTTATCTTAACACTGAAGCAATTATTAATTATTGGATGAGGCTGAGTAATACCTCAAGAATTATGAAGATCAAGGGTCTTGGGTCAGGAGAGAGAGCTTTAGATTCTGAGACTGAGGAGCGCTTACCATTTGTATGGAAAACCCGGAAATTGCGGGGAGAATTCAAATGGAATTGTTCATCCCGGGGGAAATTTTCCGGAAAAAAGGTAATACCTTTCAAGATATTACCTTTTTCCCGTTTTTACTGAAACGACCGAAATTTTTGGTACCATTTGTTTGGATTACCAGTGCCAGGCTTCAAGTCGAGAGAAAGCGAAAAAATTTACCGGTATTTTGTAAATGGTACAAATCAATCCCGTTCCTTGTTCGGTGCCAAAAAAAATACCAGTACCATTTGACGAAAATTTTTCACCAAAATTTCCGTAAGCGCTCAAGGACCACAACGATTACGAGATTTTCTCAATACTGAGTTGTGATCGCGCGTGAACCAGCGTAATTTTGGCGGGAAAACGTGATAGCCGTCTTCATTCTACTAGGAGTTTTAGCGAGAATGTCGTAGTGGCGGAACAAGAAATCAAATTTTAGAAGTTTAATCATTTTGCGAACGGGAAAGGGCTAAACCTTCTCCAATAAAAATAACTGCACCAACGTTTCAGGTGAAAAATAGTAAAATGAAGCTTTCCGGCTTGAATATTTTTCGAGAAGACGCGAAAAAACTTTAAGTGAAATCTCGTCGGCTCTTACTCTTCCTCGTCCTCAAATTTAAAGGAGGGTCTCAATGGGGTGGTGGCATTTACGGTTATCGGCTAAAATTTTGGCTCTTTTACGGCTATCGGCTAATTTTTTTCAGTTACGGTTAACAAAAAAGTTAAAAATTAACTTCTTTTGTTTCAAAAAGTTATATATTAATTAACCTGTATTTTTTGTATCTTTAAAGTAAAATAAAGGTCTTAGGATCATCTCGGGATATGAAATAAGCTATTCTTTTGAAAAATCTTAACATTTGATAGATCATACTTTTTATAAAGTATTCCACTTCTAATATTATTTTACACATAAAAATGCCAATAGTCAATTTAAAAATAATCTTTGTGAAAAAGCAAAGCACACACGCGAACGCCTAACTCAAGGCCGGGGCGCGACATTCATTACAACAGAAATGGCCGTTTTCACATTAAAGACGGATTATTCGTGTGAGGCGGGTTATCCGTTTGATGATTCGCGTCAGATAG